ACCCTAACCCTAACCCTAACCCTAACCCTAACCCTAACCCTAACCCTAACCCTAACCCTAACCCTAACCCTAACCCTAACCCTAACCCTAACCTTGCCAACTACTTGTTGCAATCGTCTTGCAAAAATAAATATCTAACCTAGTCCTTGCTATAGTTGTCCTCTATCTGCCCCTACTTAATTGCTAGCACTAACCCAAAATCATTGCCTTCTACTATCAACAGCTTGCCTAATTTGGCCTTCACCTTCCTAACCATCTTGTGCAACATATCTGCCAAATCGTTTGTCTCAATCTTTATCTGCTAGTATATAATCTAATCCCTAACCCAATCAACTATCCCTACCGCTAGCATTGTAAACTAGACTTGCATCCTATACATGCGCAAATCAAATATCCAATCTATTAAGCTTAGCTTAGACTTGTCTAACACAACTGTCATAAACTGCTTAACCTTTAGCTAGGTGATTTTAAACAACCTAGTTGCTGCCTCTTGCGCCTCCTCTACACTTATCGTCTTCTCCAACACTGCTACTTTGTCTTGCTGCTTAACTATCAACTAATACACAACTAACAACTACGCTACCTTAATAACTGCCAAATACTTTAGCATGTAATCCTCTAGCCTATACTAACTGTTATTATTGCGCAATTCTAACACTGCCAACCTACTAATCAATGCGTTTTTATATAGCATATGCTTGTATTGATAGTCGAAAAACGCAACTGTTGCATCCAAACATAACTAGTCTGCCTAGTCTTTACGCCTCTGCTGCTTTGCCTTATCCAACAGCATTATACCCTCTACCTGCATACGCTCCTCTACTGCCTTGCAAAACTTGTCAAACAAATTACCTTACTTTTTAGTAAATGCATATAGCAGCTAGTCTCTATTATCCTATTTCTATATCTGCTGCATGTAATATAATAACTTGCAATACACTGCTTTGTAATCTGCCTACATATCCTCCTCTATCTACCTGTCAAATAGCTTCTTTTGCTTGACATATACCTTCTTTTTGTTAATTTCAAACAATATTGCATACCTGTGCTGCTTTACTACTGCCTTCCTTGCCTACTTTATCACCTACTCTATGCTTTCCTATATCCACTGCAACACTACCTTGTCTTTGCCAATCGGCTCAACTATGCTGTGCAACTAGGCTAGGTCTAAACCTTTCAAATGCGTTAGCTAACTAACACAGTCTAACTACTTATTTAGCTTAGCCTTCTTGTTGCCTGCCTTAATTAACTGCCTTTTTAACTTAAACTGCGCTGTCTAGGTTGCATAGATTTGTGTCAGCTACTCCTCCAATGTCTCTGCACTTACTTCTACTACCATTGCTAGCTTGCTGCCCTAGCCAACCTTAAACTACCTGCTTGCCATGCGCAACTGGAAAAACTGCTGGCAACGCATGCCTATTGTCTATAGCACTACCTGCTTCTATTTTACCCTTTTTACCATATTGCTACCTCTAACCTATCTACTCTTCTATCTATGCTTTTTCCTACAATAATCTCTCATCTACTATTCGCTTTGCGTAACAAACCTATACTTATTGCATTGCAACCTGTTAGACTTAGGCAGCGCAATGAATAGGATTGGGTTAACTATTAGTGGCAGGAACTGAAATGTCTGCAACTTATCCTAGTTTTGCACAATACTCTCTAATCTTTCTACTGCCTTCACAACTTCTACTTGCTGCCTTGCATTTATATAATCATGCTTTCTGCACAAATAGGTTTTAGCCTTACCTATACAACATCTAACCTTGCATTTTGTGCAAATAACAAACAGGTATTTAGGCAAGCAGTCAAATAGCTTTATAATTTCTTGCTAACCTAACAATATCTTAATGCTTTAAACTATTCTACTCAACCTTAGAATCTTAACCTCTTTCTACTTTTTTATTCACTCCTATTATGCTACCTTTGCATCAAATAGCTGCTTTAACTAGTTGTTAGTCTTTAACCTTAGTCTGTCGCAATCTTGCTCTAACCTATCCTAACCCTAACGCTTACAATTCTAACATAGCTCTATCTTTTTGCACCTGCTGCTTAAAAAACTAAAAGTTCTATAGCTAGATTCTTCTCAATTTGCTAATTAAAAGCATACTACTTTTGTTTATTTTGGCCAAGAAAAAGTCTTTAGCAGCTACTCTCCTTTTCTCTACAGCAGCTACCCCCTGTCTTTAATTGTAGGTCTGCAATTTATATAGCGTTTTCTTTGGATAGCTACTACATAGCTTAGCTGTATTTAGGGGTAGGCTAGGTCTAAACCTTTCAAATGCGTCAGCCAACTAACACAGTCTAACCACCTGTTTGGCTTGGCTTTCTTGTCGCCTGCCTCAATCAACTGCCTTTTTGACTTAAACTGCGCTGTCTAGGTTGCATAGATTTGTGTTAGCTACTCCTCCAATGTTTCTGCACCTACCTTTGCTACCACTGCCAGCTTGCTGCCTTAGCCAACCTCAAACCAACTGCTTCTAAAGCCTGACTGGAAAAATCGCTAACAACACACGCCTGTTGTCTACAGCATAACCTACTCTTGCTTTGCTCTTTTCACCACATTACTGCCCTTACTCTAATTATTTGCCTATCTGTAATCATTCTAGCAATGTCGCTGCATTCTTCTCACCTCTATGCTAACAAAGTTGCATTGGTTGCACCTTAAACTGACAACTAGTGGCTTAATAAATAGGATGGGTAGGATAGTAAGTAGCAGGAACTTAAACTCTTTCAACTTATCCTAGGTTCTTGTAATGTCTAGGATTTGGCTTATCAATTCTGCAATCCTTAACCGTTTGCTAGGCTTAATAGACTTATGCTTTGCTTGCAAATGACCAACAATCTTGCCTGCCACGCATCTAATTCCACACTTGCATATTAGAAACAGGTATTTGGGCAAATAAACAAACAGCTCTATAGTGGTTTAAATGCGTATCTTGGCTAACTACTAAATGGTTACAACTATAGCCTTACACCACTGTTTGCCCCTATTCACCCTAGACAACAGGCCAATGCATTGTTAGCCCCTGTAACGCTACACTAGCTTGGGTGATGCTAACAAACAAAACCTACAGCTTTTCCCACCTATAAGCATTTTACTAACTTGAAAATGGCACTAAAGATTTCGCCTGCATTTAAGCTTTATGCGCATACCGATTTTGTCAATTTTACCGCTGAAAATGTCTACAAGCTCTGCCTTCTGTTTCTCTACAAGCTCTGCCCCCTGTCTTCACTAGCGCCATTTCAAATTACATGACGTTTTCTTTGAGCACAGCCTGTGCTTGTCGCTGTATTTGGGGGTAGGATATTATTGAGATATACAATACAGATGGTATCAACTAGTTCTGCGAGGGCGTGGTTGATATATCTCTGGAAGGTTGCTGGTGCGTTGGTGAGACCAAAGGGTAGGACCATATACTCAAAATGGCTATATTTGGTCTGGAATGCAGTCTTTTATTTGTCTCCTTCCTTGATACGTAGTCGGTGGTATGCGTCTTTTAGGTCTAAGCTGGTGTAGTACTAGGCCTGTGACAGATGGTCCAAAATCTCGTGAATCAAGGGCAAGGGGGTTTGATCCTTCTTTGTGACTTTGTTAAGTCTCTGGTAGTCTATGCAGAGGCGTAGTTTGCTTTCCTTCTTTGGGACAAAAAGTATGGGTGCTTTTGCTGGACTAGTGGAGGGTCTGATCTATCTCTTTAGCACTGCGTTGTGGAGGTACTGGCGGAGAACCTCTAGTTCCTTCTTGGCGAGCGGGTAGATAGGCTCCCAAGGCGGTTGTGCCTTGTCTTCAAGTTCGATTGGGTGGTCTTATTTGCGATTTGGCGCTAGGGTGCCAGCCACAGGGTTGTCAAAATGCCCTGTGTCCCAATATTCTGGAGGGACTTTGGCCTTGGGATCATCTTCTGAGACCTCTGGGTCTTTACTAGGACTTTCCTGTGCCTTTGTTGGAGTGATAATCATGGCGCATCGGGTGCCCCGAGCTGCCTTGCGGACTGATTTCCTCCTTGTCACTAGGGTGATACTCTGGGGATGTAACGGGTAGGTCTAGGCGTTGCGGGCGTAATCAATGCGAACCTCTGTCTTGAGCCAAGGTAGGCTGAGAATGACTCGATGTAGGCTTGCGGTACAATTGGCAATCTGGAAAGGTTGAGATTGCATGCGCAATATATCCTGTGTGTCTGTGGCTTTCTATATCACTGTCTGGTCACTGTAGGTAGGTGCTGTGATAGTTTGTGAGCTAATGGGCTAAGAAACTGTACTGGCTTTCTCGAAAATACGAGCTGGGTCTATTTCTTCCAAGAGGGTGCGGTTGATGATGTTGGCCTGGGATCCCCTGTCTATCAAGGCGGTCACTGGGACCTATTGTCTACCTAACTGGAGGTGTACTCTTGTTTCAACCAACTCTGGAGGTGGCGCCCCTGGTTCCTATCGATTGGTTACTGTTGCAGTTGTGTGGTTGCTGAGAGGTTTCTGGTTTGCTTTTGAAGCTGGGGCGGCCTTGGTGCAATTGGTGGCGACATGGCCCTTCTTTTTGCAGCGATAGCAAGTCAAGTGTCCCAATTGGTTGTTAGGTCTTTGCGACATAGCAGGGGTGTTGCTAGTTGGTGGCGCTGACGAAGAACCTTGCGAGTCAAATTGACTGTGGAACTGCCTATCTTGACCCTGGTTCTGGAACATCGCTGGGGGCTTGCTGGAGCGATCCTGTTGACGCAAGGTTTCCTGGATAAGCATCTTTGCTCTCTTGGCTGCACTAACCAATTCCTGGCGGGTGCGTGGCATGCTGTTGGAGACGATTTGTTGGATTATGGCTGGGTCCAATTTGATGAGTAGTAGCCTTACCTGGTATCTCTCTGGTATGGCTTTAGGTAGCTCTGCCTCTAGTGTCTTGAAATTGTCTAGGAAGTTCTGAACCTTTTGCCCTGGAGTGTGAAAAATGCCTTTGCGGCCAAAGAGGCTGTCTAAGGTTTTCAGGACTTGGGTGTCGTTGTTGTCTAAGTCGTATTTCAGCCACTTCTTCAACGTCTTCTAGTTACTCTCTAGTGGGCTGCTGTTGTGATTGGCAGTCAGGAAGTTCAACTAGCGTTGTTTGATTGTGTCAATCAGGGCACTGATAGCAGCCTGGATCCTATCATACTCCTAGTAGGGGTCCAAGCCTTCTGGGTAGCGTTGGCGTAGCTCGAAGATGAAGAGCTTGTACTTGGACTAGCTTAATCCCTTATACTTTAGGGGAGGGAGAGAAGTCCTTGTCTTGTTCCCTCGCTGGCGTTTGGCTGGTGGGCTCCTGGGAAGCTGCGTGGGAGTGTCAGGGTTTTCACCTCTCCTTAGGGCTGCTAGTCTGTCTCTTTTCTTCTGCAAGGTGTAGAGTCGCTCTTTGTTGGCAATCTTATGGTCAAGTCTCTGGTGCTCTTCCTCCACACTCTCGACACTCTGAGGGGTATTGGAGCTAGGAATCTCTAGGTCTATAGTCTTAGTGTTGGCAGTGGGTTGCATGTTGGCGATGGGCGGCATGGTGGCAGTGAGGTTCTTGTCTTGGCGCAATGGTCTATGCTTCTTTTTGAAGGTTGGAGCGATTAATATGTCAGGGGTTTTACGAACACAGAGTGAAGAGCCAGGTAGATGACAGTGGTAAAGCAGTTGGGAAGTAGGGGGTCTAATGTTGTGCAAATTAATCGCTGGCTTCTCTTCTTTGGAAGAGAGGTTAGCCTTTCTGAAATACCTAACGTCTTTTCCTCAAAGCGTTATACATGATCCAATCTACTCCAGTCTTGTCCTTGGAAGTTCCTAGAGATGACGCGGGGATCTTCCGGTGACGACCTGGTCTGTGGATAATCTGTGGATAACACGTGGGCCTTTGTTTACGCGTCCCTGTGGCCCTTGCCGATCCACCGGTCCTGTCCTAGGCCCCCACTTGTCGATCAATCCACCGTGTGGCCCCTTTCGGCCGGCTGTCCATATGCCTCTGACATTCTCAAAGCAATCCATACGCTTAGAAAGGGCATCGACGCAGGCGTTAGACTTTTCAGCCTAGGTTACTAGAAAATCTAGCTTTTTTATAATCAAGTCGTTGCAGTTAGAGGTTAAAAGCCTAAGTCCTTCTTCCTTATCGTTAGAGAGGCGAAAAAAGTCAGACTTGCGCCTTAACTTAGGCTTTTGGAGATTGTCATATAGGTTATTCCATATAAAGTTGCCTGCTCTAAAGGATCCTAAAAGTTGGGTCTTCTAACCCATCACAGTTTTGTCAACGTTGTTTAAAGCCTTAAAGCTTAGAAAAGTGTCTCAAAGCTTGGGATACACTCTAGGGATGTCAATACCTAGGTTAAATAGCCTCTCATTATAATAGCCTTTCTAGATCTTTGCAATATCTTTGTCAAATTGGTTGATAACTTCGAATACCTAGAGGTTCAAGGTGTAGTATTAATCGCTTGATTTGCGTAACTAGTTGCAGTCCTAGTGACAGAATTAGGCTACGACATGGATAGCTAGAAGCTAGTTATTAGTAGGCTTGTTGCGTAAGTTGTTGATAGTGTCATGGTTGTTAATTAGTACACTGCTGTCGTTAAGGTTCTCATTCTTATAGTCAAAGTAGTACTAATCAGCGTCTAGTCAATTGTTAGAAAGGTTGCTAGCAAGGCTAGGAGAGTTTCTAGGTTGACAGCAGAAAGGACTACCTAAGTAAGCAAAGGTGGCAAGGTCTGCCATTGACAGTCTTGCTTGCATAGGCAAGTGTCTGGCAACCAATCAGGCCATAGTAACTAGTCAGATTAGCAGGTTTAGCGTTAAAAGTAACAGCAACGTGAAAGGCAAAATGATGTAAAAGCAGTGTAACGCAATGCAAAGAGTCAAGAAAGAAAGAATCTTCTTCGCAAATAAGTTGGCAAAGAAGGCAGGAAAGCAGTGAATATGCAAGAGACTTGCTAGTAAATATGCAAGAGGCTTGGGTATTTAAAGGTTGGTGAATACTCTAGCAAGTATTTAAATGTTAGTAAAAAGAGGCCCAAATACTTGACAGGTTAGGCCTAAATACTTGACAGGTTTGGTTAAAGCAGGCAAGTAAATGGTGCTTTACATGTAGATTAGTCTAATCAACGCGTCAAAGGCTTGCGCATAGCTAACGCTATTCGCAAGCTCTTGGGGTGATTTTGGTATTGCTAGAATCAGCGAAAATTGAGGTTTTTGGTGGTTTTGGTTTGTATTATAACTCCGACGAGTATATCTATGCTACCAATTTATAGCGCGTTGGCAGAAGGCTACTTCAATAGCAATCTTGTGATATTGTATGAAGTAAAAGTGGTGTTGATATTCGGTGGTTTCTACGCAGAAGGCGCGTAGGCTTTGACTAACCCACGCTAGCGCATAGGCTAGGTCACAGGCCCCCAGGGCCACTTTGAGCCCTGCCTTCACTGTCTATTTACAGCCAGTAGAAACCATCCTTTCTACCCCACCAAGCCTCACGCATCAATAGGCTAGATTTAACACTAAGCTAATAAAAACAATAGCATACTACTTACAAGCTAATAGCTTATTAAAGCGTAAGAATTAGATAGTAGAAGTAGCTATTTGATTCTACTGCTTTACTAACTCTAAAGACAACTAGGTTGACTTTATTCCTACACTATAGTAAAACCTTAATAATGCCTATAATAAAGGAATAGCAGCATTACCTAATACGGTTTTCTTTGGCTTTAAACTTTTAAGCTTTGCTAAAGTAATTGCTAGTGTAGGTAACTCTTTATGTTACGCCCCGAAGGCCCGGGTCAATATTGCCCTGGCCCCCACGCGCGGGGCCCGGGAAAGCCCGGTGGCCGAGGTGGCTTGGTCCGCCACATAAAGTGGCTTCGAGTGATCAGCGCGAGCGTGGCCTT